TTTTTTTTTTTTTTTTTTTTTACTAGATAACAAAAATTAAAACATTTTCCATGTAGCGATTAAAATACTCTATTTACCAGATCGTAAAATATTTTTTTACGTATTATTACTTTACAATATTCTTATTATTATTAACTTAACGCAAAGTCAATTAATATGAACTTACGCGTGCATTTGTATATGTCGAGAAACTTATACACATACACGCGTGCGCGCACGTAAACATAATTACAGAGAAACATATCTTTCATTTCTTCATTTATAAAAATTTGAAGAAATACGATCGTTAAAATCTTAATTATTATTCTCGATTACACAAATACAAAGTTTCTCGCTTGACGATGTTTAATCAATAATTAAAACGTTTAAGATACACAAAAATATAATAACAATAATAATAATAACAATAATAATAAAAAGTCATATTTTCTATGTAAAAAAAACAAAATAAACTTATAAAAAAAGAAAAGCACATTTTGTACATTTAAAAAAGGAAAAAAAAAAAATAGAAAAAAATTTTCCAAAAATCGAATATCATCTACAGAGTTCAATATACAATTTCTATTATCTTTTTTCTACTCTATAATTAGTAGTAATTTATAGAAAAAGAAAAAAAAAAGAAAAAAAAAGAAAAATAATTATACAACTCGCGTCACGTTATGTCATCGCTGTGAATCGTACGAGTAACGAAACATAGAAAGAGAAAAAAAAAAAAAAAGAAATAAGAAAAATCAAGAAAAATGAGAGAGAAAGAGAGACACAGATAATAAATATAGTAATAGTAATAAAATAATATAAGTAATAAAAATACAAGATATAGACGGATAATAGTCAAGTTAAATAGTTATAGATAAAAGATTAAAAAAAACAAAAAAAAGGAAAAAGGTAATACGTCTCACACTGACGATATATATTCTTTCGAACTAGATCGTCTAGACGACGACGAGTTTCTACGAAAATTTTCTACGAAATAGAAGACGATTGATCATGAAAGTCTAACGAAGACTGTGCTTCGTTTTACGAAATCTAATCGTATTTGGATGAAATTATCGCGTTTTCGTTAAAATTCGTTTGGAGTAAACGAACGAAAAGAAGGGGGAACGAAGGGTGGTAGAGTAGGAGGGGGCGGGAAAATATTCGAAGGAGAATTGCATTTAAAATATACGCTATCTCGTACCTTATCATCCAACATTCTCTTCCACTCATTCTTCCCTCCCCCCCTCCTCTTCTTCTTCTTCTTCTTCCTCGAGCCTCAGAGAGACCACCCTAAGACCAACCCCTAAATCCACAATTTATTCTTAATTTATCCCGTTAAACGAAAACTTCTAAAGATAGAAGATTATTACTATAGAGGGTTAACGTTTTCTATCATCGTTACACTTATTAAACGCATATGTATGTAGACGCAACGCGTATATACACTCAAGCGTATTTCCAATGAATTGTATTAATCATCAAATTGAAGGAGGCTTAATTAAACTCAATAACTTAACTATTAAATAATCGCTGTGAATTAAGGCCATTCGTGCCATACTGGGTGCTGCTCTCGATATAAATGATCACGATGTGTGTGTATGTGTTATATGTAAGTACTTACGGTACTTATGTATAATGATTGTAAACGTTTGTCTGGCTCTGTGTGTGTGTGTGTATGTGTTTTATTATATATGAAGTATGTGAGTAATTATTATTATTATTATTATTATTATTATTATTATTATTATTATTATTATTATAATTATTACTATTATGTACGAGTATCGTTCGATTAATTTCCAACTTCCGGAAGATACACTAACCGTTAATTCTTCGCGAGTTGGTGGTGTTCTTTTAAGTTGACCGGAGAAAAATTATTTTCCTTTTTTTTTTCTCTTTTTATTCTCTCTCTCTCTCTATCTCTATCTCTATATATTTTATTTCTTCTTTTTTATTTTATTTTATTTTCTTTTTTTTCATCTTTTTTGTAATATTCGTCTCTTGACAAGAAATTAACGAAGGACAGGGTGATGAATGGTTTTTAATATTTAAACTGTGTCCTCTTCCAATATTAATCTTGATTTTAAACTCGTTTATATTAAAATTAAGCGAATAATTCGAATAAATGTCGAGTTAGTGTGAGAGAGAAAGAGGAAAAGAGAGAAAGAAAGAAAGAAAGAAAGAAAGAAAGAAAGGAAGGACAAAAAAAAAAATAGAAAGAAAAGAAAGCCCGGAACGACTTCGAATTTCCGTAAGCAATAATGGTAAAAGTTATGATGCAATAATTAAAATACCTACGATAGTCTAATTAATATTTAATGTTAAGTAATGATTATGATTATTATGGTTCTTATTATTATTATTATTATTATTATTATTATTATTAT